AAAATTGATGAAACATTTATTTGGTGCGGTCGTGTGGTCTGTTTCAGCTGATGCGGTCTGGTCTGGTGGGGAGAGACAGTGTTGAGTTTGTGACTTGAGGAAGTGGGAGTACATTTCCTGCCTGCCCCCAAAATCATCTCACTTTAATTAATCTCATCAAGTTTTTAAGGTTTGTATTATTTCTTTTACCCATTATTTTATTTTATATTTAACTAAATGGTTATGGAATAGACCTGAAACTTTTGGGTTTGTTTTATTTTGGTACTTCCAACTCCTAAAATGTAAAATTTAGTTCTTTAACTTTAAACATAATTGTTTTTTGTCCTGGTTGTTATTTTGTTAAATATATGTATTTAAGAGACATGTATGTATTAATGTGTAGATAAAATAAATATCTTTTTGAAGTTGAGGGACAAAAGTGAAATAAACTAAAAATATAGGGACCAAAATGAAATTTGTAATAAGACACTCTACAACCTTTTGGTCAATGATATATATATCTTAAATAGTTTAACTATGTTCAAGTTTTTTTTTTTTTTAACTCACAATTTTTTGGTTGCAGGGGTTGAATTAAAAGAAAAAATTGGTCCTCTAGACTAAAAGATTAAATTTATAATTGAATTTATTTAATAATGGTTAAACTAATTTAATACTTTTTGACCCTAAAATTATTGAATGGAAACGAGAAGAGAATAATAATGGAAGCGAGAGTTAGGTTAAAAATTAGGCTCATAAAATTGGGACACACTGTATAAAAAAATAATTTAGGTATTAAATAGTGTCACACAAATAGAGGTATCTCTTAAACCCTACATTAATCATCTAAATAAAGTTGACCCTCATTTTCTGGATCTCTCAAACGAGAATTAATTTTCTCTTGTCTTTTTCTTTTTTCTAGTCAACTTTTACAACATTTAAAAAAATGGTCTTTAGTTCTAACAATCAAATTTGATCCCTTTACCAGTCAAATCTACTCTCTTAATTTCAAAAAAAAAAAAAGAAAGAAAGAAAGAAAGAAAGAAAGAAAGAAAAACAAACTATTACATATATTGCAACCCCACGTAGCCAAAAGGTTAATAGTTATTTTTTTTTTCAAATAAAGTATATATATATATGCAGTATTCTAGTTGGGGGCGATTTAAGGTGGACTCTGACGTGAACTTAAGCTGGAAATATGTAGATAGAACCTTACACAAGTGTGATGCTCGACCGCATACATTTTGAAGCTTAAATTAATATTTTGTTCAAGCAGGTGTCAAGTCGAACTTAAGTTGGATGCAAAAAAATTGCATGCTTTTGAGAATGTGTGACCCACCTTTTATAAGAAAATCATTAGGGGCATTCACAAGTCATTTAGCAAATCTTCTGTTAACGGACAGAAGATCGTCTGCTAGTAAAATTGACGTCCCGCCGATTGTAAGTGAATTTCTTGCCCATCAAAATTAATCTTTTCCAAATCGAAACCAAACGGAGCGTTGCATTATAGTATGTCGGCTTGTCCCTCCTCGTCCTCGACGTGGCCAAGTTGGGGCTTGAATACATATGGCAAAACTAGGGGCCACATGTTTGATTTGATTTCCCCTCCTAACATGCCTAGCATTATAATTATGGGGTATGATTTCAACTAATAAAAAGAAAGTTACTAATACATAAACTATATAACTATGCTAGGTGATAAACTCCTAAATTTTATGGAAAAAAACCACTAGTTACCGCATGAAACAATCTTCTAGGAAAATAAATAAATAAAAAGATTTAATTTATCCAAAATTAAAACCAATATAAACTTGAATATTAAAAAAAATTAAAAATATCCAAGATTAGAAAAAGAAAAAAATATATCAAAAGTCAAAGCATAAACTATCAACGAAGAATGGACGGAATTATATAGAAATACCAAATCTCCTTATAATATTTATTTTTTAAAATTGATTTATTCAATCATATTTATAGACTTTTAGCCATAAATTGATAATCAAGCTTAAAGATTACAGGGTGTAGTTTGAAAATTTTTTGGATTAGGTCTCAAGTCTTCTTTCTCTAAAATACAACAAGGGTAGTTTGGGAAAAAAAATAAAATTTTTAAACTTTGCAGAACCATCCATTAAAACTCTAAACAAATAATTATATTAATTTACAACTCTAAATTTTTATAAGTCAGTATTTTCATCGACATATCCATGTTTTTATGGATTCGACATCGACATGAGGGATAAATCGACATTTCCATTATAGTTCAAGAAAATCGACAAAATATGAAAAATATCAACAATATATACATAATATCAATATTAATTATTTTTAACTAATTTATAAATAGAAAAATGTTTATTGGTTAATTTAAATATTTTTTACGATTTTTTATTTTTTCTAACTTTTACAGAAATATCCATCGACATCAACATTTTATCGATATTTCCACGAAATTAAGACCTCGGAATTTGTATCGACATCGACATTTAAAATCTTGGATTCAACCTACGCGTTTGAAGATATAAATTAATTAATTTTTCCTTTTAGAACTGTTACTTAAAGTTTGGAGGAACTTTTCATCTTCTCAAATTGCTTAATTTTTGGTAAAAAGGTTTGGCGAAGAAGGAGGAGAAAATTGGTACGAAGATGCCCAAATCATGGCAGATATGAAAATTTTTATTAATTTGACATCTTTTATATTAGTAGAATGCTAAGTAATATAGATCATTTTTTTAGCATGTTAGGTCTCTCCATCTTTAATTGATTAGATGTTTTTGGTTCCAATAATTAATGTGTTATAATTGTTGGCAAAAGACTAAACTTTTCAATAGTTTACTATTGATTTTTTTTTCTCTTAAACAAATCACAAAAGGAAGTTTTCCTTGATTGATGCTTTGATTTATTCCTTTTATTGAACAAATTTACAAGAGTCAAAAAGATTAGTGAGTTGGGCAATAATTTTTGTGGCAAAATTCAATTCATCTATCATTTTATTTCATTTCCTCGTAAAAGTGCTAGTTAGTTAAAACATACACCATTGACTAAAAAGGTTCAGAGTTTCGAATTTCTACATCGACCTCTACACGCTGTTAAACTAAAAAAAAATGTTTAAAGTACTCTTTTGGTTATGAATACTTTCAAAACATTTATTTTAGTCCTTATATTTAAAAAAGAATGAGCGAACTAAAATAGTCACTTTTCAAGAGTACATGGATCAAAATTGACATTTTGAAAATGTATAAACTAAAGAGAACCAAAATAGTATTTAATTAAAAAAAAATTACTCCTTTTTTTCTTCCAAAAAAGTTTCCTTAATTTGACAAGCATAATTAATCAAACCAATCCAAGATTAAACAATACAATGATCACTTTGAAAGGTAAAATTAGTCCCTTTTATTTATATTAATGAAAAAGAAAAAAAAGTTGTTCATTAATTCTCAAACTGATTTTAGAATCTGGAGATGAGATCAATTTCCACTCCAGAATAATGACAAGAAGCCATAGAAGTTGCAAACAATAAATATGGCTGTTTTTTTTATAACCATTACCCAAAAATTAAATAAGAAATCAGAATATTGAAAGAGTGACAGTTGAATGTATAAAAATAAAGTTAATGGACAAAATTAAAAAAAAAAAGAATAGGAATATTAATTATATTCAGATCCAATTAGTGCATGAAATGAATATTCAATAAATGTGTGAGCCCAACAACACATTCACTTCCTCGGCCTTCTTTCTCTGATAGGTCGTTACCAATGCTCTCATACTAAATAATGTCAACTCCTAACTTATTATTATTATTATTATTATTATAAAAAGGGAAAAAAAATCTCCTCACTTTTATTTTTGGTTTTTACAAGAAATCCGACATCGTCTATCGTATGATATCGTCTACTTTGGATAGGTATATGGACCATTTCGACCCTACCTATTAAGGGCTTGTTCTAGAAATACTTTTTCAATACTTCTCTTATTTTTTTATTTTTAAAGTATGGTTGGATAATTGATTTTAAAAGGTAGGTTAAAAAATACATTTAGTCATTGCACTGAAATAACAATTTATTCCCTGAACTTTAATTTGTAACGATTTAATCCTTGTGGTTTAAAATTTGTAACAATTTAGTCCCTATCGTAAATTTTTTTTTATTAAAATTAAGTGTCAAATTTTATTATATAGCAATTTAATCTTTCTATTACATAAGCATATTTGGTCCCTCTTTAGTTTATCAATCTATACATACAAGAAACTTAACAAAAAAATTTTTTTAGATAAGGACTAAATGGTTACCAACTTTAAAATGCACTAAAAGTTCATGGACTAAATTGTTACCAATTTGAAAGTACATGGACTAAATCTTTACGCACTAAAGTTCAATTGTAGATAACATAGTATCACATTGGTAAGAACGGAGGATAATCTTAACAAGGGGTAAGATAAAGGAGAATATGTAGGAAAATTAAACCTTGAATGAGTTAATTGACACTAACAAATAATTTGATAAATTATGTTAATGTTAGGAGTGGATAATGCAAGAAAAGTAAGGAAAAAAAAGGTGCATAGAATTCAAACTTGATTGAATGCTAGAATTCAAAGCCACTCAACTGTGAAACTTGGAATTTCAATATTGAAACCAATCCCTATTGAATGTATGCAAAGTGCATTTAGTAGCACACCTATAGACCAGCCACAATTTTTGGACACAGAAAGGAGAGAGAAAAAAGTATATACTTAAATGGAAATGTGTTGTACAACCATTTTCTTTCTTATTTTCAAATGAAAAAAAAAAAAATCTCCTGAAACATGGTGCTCAATGAGTAAAATTTCAAAAATTTAACTATTGAACGTGTAATACCCAATTTGACTAACGATGAACATAATTCAACTGATTAAAACATTGGTAATTGCTCTCCCGATTTTAGTCTTCGACATTCGAGTTCTCTGATTTAGCCTCTATCAAGCTAACCCATGAACCGAATCAAAAACTATAATAGTATAATAGGGAAGGAATTCAAAGTAACATCTTATATGACTTTTAATAGAGCTTATATTTGGTATACTTATCAGTAGTGTATAGAGTTGAATAGGGGAGAAGATGATCTACAATTACAGTTAAAGTCCTATCAAAATGTAGTACTGATTCAGACTCAATCTCATCAGGAGGCTAGATTAATGATCACTGAACAGAAACGGAGTGGAGCTTGCAAAGATCGAGAGCGGTGGTCAGTTCCATTGGAGCTAATCTTCTAACATTGGCTGCTGGTCGAGCACCGTTAGAAGCTCGGTCATGGGCGTCACCGTGCCATTCACTGCCTCATGTTCACCTCTGCACTGGAGTAACTGTCTTCTAAGCTTATGCACCAGTTCATTCAATCTCCGAATATTTTTCTCCTGGGAAAGGATAATCTACAGTAGCATTGATAGAGTTTTAGTATTATATTTACAGAACGTATTAGAAACCAAGAAACTAGAGAAACTAAGAAAGAGAAGACAATCAATATAGCCCTTATCATGAATAAGATGAAGAAAAGAATCAAGAAATCAGAATAAAAGAGAAAAATAGGTAAAATTTCAAATTATTCATGATATCATCAATTTGAACCTACTGCAAGTAGGAAAATAAAGCCTAAGAGAATTATTTTGAGAAAGAAGGATGTAGCATGATTGCTGTTCTGTTCGGTGCCTTAGTGAAAGTTGCTCTATCATTCCTTTTCACCTCTGATTGAGGAATTCACGGCACCTTTTAATTGTACTTTGGGAGAACAATGTACACCTACTCAAAATATTAAAATTCTATGAGTTTCTCGACAACCAAATGTGTAGGATGATAGATTGTTTTGTGAGATCAATTGAGTTATGTGTAATAATTTGGCTCTTTGAAGCCTGAGCACATATCGTATTGAGAAACTCATAAGATATTTAACATTTTACGACCATGATTTGAACCATAACCTTAAAAGCATCCAGGTTTCCATTTAATTATACAGTCAATCAACAATCGTTGGAAAACTTCACAAGAATTTAGAGATTCTGACTTTTGACAAAGTTTATAGTGCATGTATTCATGCCATACCGTCATGTCCATGATCATATGGGATTAAAATATCAGGCACCAGGTAGTTCAATAATCCAATTGGGTCAAAGAAGAACAGCAGTATAGTCTCGTGTTACAGATGTAATGGTGCGGATAGGTTAGATATAGTTCTACTTTTCTGGTAAAGAAATGTGTGAAAAAACAACTAAACCTGGCTACCATTAGTAGATAACTAAGATAATGTTGTAGACATGTGCAACCAGCAAGGAGAAACAAGTACGCTTCTATATGCTATACAACGAAAGACAGATCAAATTGTTAGATATGACGGATGAGCTTACTTGAACAGGATTTGTTCTATAGGTTACAACTGTGTCCTTGAGTTCTAAAGAGAATATGATGGGAAGTTTCTGTATTATCTATGTAAATATATGAATTGTAGTTTCAAGACTTCTGGTAGGATACCCCATCAAGGCATCTCTAAGGGTTTATGGAAGTTGCATTCCGAAGAAGGTTCAGGTTTTCTCTAGGCTTTCAAAGCATCAAAAGTAATGAGAAGATCAAAAGAAGAAATGCTGCAACTTTTACTCCAAATTCTTGTGTCAACTGTACACAAACGCAGAGGAAAACATCTATCATCTTTTAATCCATTGTTTGCCTACACCATTGAATTTACTTCGCGAGATATTTGGTATCTCTCGGTGCTGTCATCTGGACATCTTGAGTTCAATTCGAAATTGATTGGATTTTCCCCCAAAGGTAAAGCTAAAGTCTTTTGGAATTATGCTGGGAAAGCTCTATATTTGACCTTATGGTTGGAAAGAAACAAAGAACCGGAATTATCATTTTAGTGAACCTTCTGATCTATCATATAATACAGCCTCCAAATGGTGTTCCAGTGATAATAACCTCCACATTTCCTACCTTTTTGATTCGTCTCAGTGCGGGGAATTTTCATAAACCCCCAGGAGCAATATCACCGAGGATTCGATGGATACATATATTATTTCATATCTAATAACAACAACAATATAATTGAACATCTCATCATTTAAAGCATTGATAAAACCTAAAAACCTGAAACACACAAGTGCGTTGGCAAATGAAGATAGATAATTAGAACTCCACCTTTTCTTTTACAGCTTCCTCTCTTTCAGATATCTGTGGTTCTCTCTGCGAAGCGTTTGGACCTGCTTCAAGCTCGTTCTCATACTGCTGCCTCCACTCAAATTGTGAGGAGAATACGATCAGTAACAGCAGACAGACAAGAACCCAAGGTCTTGACATCATTACAACCAAATTTTATGTAGTTCTGTCCTGTTTTTCCAGTAAGCACACAAGTCAAATTCTCAGTTCCACCCAACAACTTAATTGAAACATCAGTTCAGAATAAATTTGAGATAGACAGAATCAGGTAACAATTACACAGAGAAAGAACATAAACGAGCTGGGTTTAGTTCCTACTAGATCTACAAGATTCAAGACATAAAAATTCTTCAGCCACACAGCAAATTGGGAGTTCCAGAAGGAAAATCTGCGGGTTATGAGAATGGTCTCGAGTTTTTCCTTTCGTTTCCCCCTCTCACAGGAACACGATTCTACAAAACGAAAATAATCGAGATTTTCTACCCCGTTCCCAAAATTTTCTCACCTTCCAAACACAACCTGAGAATCGACAGAAAACCCAGGTATACGAGCAGAAATCTTCCTCGAAATGACCATCCACTATTGCGTCCGGATTATGAACCACTGAGAAAAGCTCAAATTACCAATCCCTCAATAAAATCGAAGCAGAAAAAATGCAAAAGAATCAGTATAAACAAATCGGGGCACGAAAATTAGGAAGAAATATTATAGAGTTGAATCATAAAAAGATACTCACTGATCGAACAGCGCATCTCAATTTAGTTGGAGTCGGATTTCTTCGAGTTGAAGCTGCATCGCGTCGCATATGGCTCGGTTGATCGAAAATAAGCCTTACACGTGCCCACGGCCACTATGGTTTTTCTATTTATTATTTTAATTTTCTCAAATTAAATAAATATCAAAATCAAAGATAAAATGTGTTCTAATTGTGGGCTGTAGCTAAGTTCCCTTTTTTCTTTGGGTCAAAGTTTCAATCTTTATTTTTCGGGGATACATTTTCGCC